TTCTCTGCCCAAGGAGGGGAGTGAAACAGCCCCAGGGGCCAGCACGGAGGCAGGAGTGAGAGCGCCGGGGCCCTGCTGTACGGGATGCTCCGCGCTACAGACTCAGCCGTGTGGGGGAGCTGGTCCCAGTGCAATGAGGGGTGGAGTGAGGTGGGGAAAAGGATTCGGTGGCTGGGCCAGGGGAAGGGGAGTGAGAGCCCAGCCCCAGGGCTGTGTGAGTGATGGGCCCAGGCTGGGTAAATGGGATCCGCTCACAGGAAGGAGCCCAGGGGGCAGCTTGTTTCCCGTTCTCGCCACGTGTTCACCTGACCACATGGCTCCTCCCCAACTCCACGTCCTTCACCTGGGCACCTTCCTGTACAACCAGAACCCCTAACCCCTCCTTGCCCTGCTCTGTATCCAGCAGCTCCCGCCCTCAGTGCCGTCTGTGGGGAGGGAGCTGGTGAGCCTGAGCTGGGCGAGTGTTGTGCTCGGGTCAGACAGGGGAGGCTGGAAGCAGGTTGGCTTTGAAGTGTTAAAAGGGCTTCATCGCACACACCTAGTGCCATGGGTGATTTAGCAGCCCACACACACTATGGGAGTCATGAGATCCTCACACACATTCACTTTCCTTTGTGTTTCTATCTCTGTGTATCCCCCTTATGTGCTGAGATGCTGCTGCTGGGTGTGACATTAACCCCGTCATTTCACAGACCCAATAGAGATGTCATTGGGATGCATGTTACGTTGTTCTTGTTTTCCTGGCTTTAATTCCTGGCCTGGCTGCCTGACAATGAACAGAATTGGGAATCGGGACCACGCAGGGACAGAGCGGGTTGTGCTGGCCCCTCCCCTGCCATTTCCCATGGCCCCAGTGGGAGGCCAGCAGCAGAAAGGTCAGTTCAGACCAGGGACATGTGCTGGGAAGGTGCTGTTGAGGGGAAGCCCTGGATGGAGTCAAAGCCATGGAGCGGGAGTGGGGTCCCTGCACTCACAGAGCTGCTGGTCGAGATCTGCCAGGCTGGCGAGGAGCTGCTCCCAGGCTATGGGACAAACTCCTGCAGGAGCTGAGAACCCCCTTGAACATCACCATGCTGGGTTCCTAGTGCCAGGGGACGTGTCAGACCTGCCCCCAGTCCCCAGCGCACAGAGCACGGCAGACACCACATCCACCAACAGATACACAGAGTGAAAATCCCTGGCACTGGGGAGAGAAGGGAGCAGGAGAGAATCCCAGGGGACGAATGTGAGTTGTGTGGCTGGTGCCCAGTTAGACGCGCTGGGACCCTGCGGGGATGAGGGGCTGTAAGGACTGAATAGAACAGAAGAGAACATGGGGGACAGTGCTGCCTGGCTGCTAACAGGCCAGTGGGCTGGACCCCTTAAACTCCCAACTACGCATTAAATATTGATGTAATATCCTCTGCAGAGTGTTCCCCCTTCTCCCAAATTATTTATAATTAACCAAACCCAGACCCCGACCCCCAACAGTCAATCACCTGCCCCTCCTCTGCTGCTGCCCCCCACCCCCAAGTGCCAGAGGATCTTCTGGCTCCATCCCCCACCGTGCTCCTGTTAATGTGCATCACCCAGGGCTCCCTGCTGCCCGTGTCAGTGGCAGGGCTGGGTGGTGGTAGGGTGACCAGATGTCCCGATTTTATAGGGACAGTACCGATTTTTGGTTCTTTTTCTTATATAGGCTCCTATTACCCCCCACCCCCGTCCTGATTTTTCATATTTTCTATCTGGTCATCCTATGTGGGATCAGCAGCGGCTCGGCCTGGGCTCCTGGTTCACAATGGCAGCTGCAGCAGCATCTGTCCAGGGACAGGAGCGAGCAGCCTCCCCTCCCTGAGCAATAGCCAGAGCCCTCTGGTGGGGGCAGCTGGGGAAACAAACAAACCAGAGACAGAGACCCAGAGAAACGTGGCCCCTGCTGCCATTCAGGGCCCTACAACTTACCCTCAGCCCTAGTGGGTCTTTATTTTGGCCACTCCCAGAATAATCCCAGGTCCCTCAAGACACCCCGCTCCTGGGCTGTCCTCATTTC